TGTTAATTAATGGGTAAAGTTACTGAGTCTACAGGGGTTGTAGCTAATCAGGGAGTTTCATTTATTGGTTTAGGTAAAAGCTTTCAGAATGTTAATACATCACCTGAGGTGAGCCTGGGAGCATACTTTTGGCAAGAAACCCTTCCAAAGAGAATAGTCTGGAAAGAATACTTAGCTCAAGCTTGGAATTTACCTCTTCCAGCAGCTCACAGCCTCTCTCGTTTCTCCCTATTAAATTATTCATTCGTTTTATATACTTAAAACTAGTAAAATGAATATTTTAAGTAGGTGCAATTTTTAAAAATTTTATTTACTTTTGAATGCTCAGACACATAATTTTCCTCTCCTTTAATTCTTCTCCTCAGTCCCCCAAGCCAACTATCAGTTTTTTGATACATTTTATTCTCATGTTTGATACTTTCATTTGGCCAAGTATTATATGCCGGACAGAAGTTTCCATTGCCCTTTTCACTGAAAGACCTTTACTTGGCAGATGTCTCCTTAACCTGAATGTTTGCTCATCGTCTCTCCAAATGTTCCAACAATGCTGAGCAAACTATACTGCCTTTTCTCCACAGTGATATTAATATTTCTTTCTTTTGGCCGTTTCGTTAAAGCTTATCGTAGTGCACAGTCATTGAGGCACCACACATATGGCCGATTAGAGAAGTCAGTCTGTGGCAAACTGTATTTCAAGTTGTTTCATTGTCTCTTCTTCCCTCAAAAAGGGCTCAAAGTTTAATACAAACCCAGAAATGCTCCACTCACCTGGTTTATTTCAAAAACTACAGGTTTTTGAGTTTTCAGATTTTATATAAGCTATGCCATGGGCAGAAAAGTACTGGGAAAAAGCACCGAGGCGCCTGGTAGTGGAGCTTGCGGGATGCTGGCATGTCCTTGCTTTTACAGCTCTTTTTGTCAAAGCGTGAGTTTTGCAGTTGATACCATGCCCCATCTGTTGGCAGTTCCCTGATCTAGCTTTCCTCCCCCTCCATTTACTGTTCAGACTCGCTGGCAAAACCCCATGGTACCACAGCCCTTGCAGACAGCTGGAAACCTGCAGAGCAGGACCCACCCACTGATTCCTTTGGTTTCTGAGCTTTTGAGACAGATCTGACTTGGAGAGCCCCCTAAGTAGAAGGTTGTAAGAAAGTCTCTGCTCTACACCTGTTAACTGTTCTGCAATCCAAGTACATCACCACACTTTCATCCTAAAGACACACAGGCAAAGTGTTGCTTGTGGCTTTCTGAAACAGTCAATGTTTTCATTTCAGGCATGCACTTGAAGTTTTGGAGTAAAGGCAGAGTGTCTCCTTCAGGGAGTGTGCCCCAGTGAGAGTAAAATTTAAATAAATTAACAAGGAGGACATTTTGAAACTGATGGAAGTATTTCTGAAATTGTTTCCTGGGGAGACAGAAAGGGGTCTAAAGGAAAATTTATAGGCATTTTGAGGATGTACGGGGAAGAATTCGCAGTAACTCATTGTGGTTTCTAAAGGCCGTCTTGATGCAGGAGAGAGGACACTTGCTTAAGAGCTCTGCTCCTTCAGTGACAGACTATCATAACGCACTTGTTATTTGGCTGAAGAAATCCAAATTACCAGATAAGAACATTTACTGTCATTTAATGCGCGTGAAGCCGACTGAAGAGATTATAGACCAGTGCTGTCGTGAATACAGTTGTGTCATCCACTGACCTGGCTGCAGGTGACCAGGCCTTTCGGGGGCACCTGACTGGAGATCTTCCAATACAGATGCTTGTCAGGAAGCATTTAACAAGAGGCTTCCCGGGTGCTGTCTTGGATCTGTCAGGAACCCTCTGGCCCTTATTAATTCCTGAATATTCAGGAATTAAGAGGAGAGGCACGCCTTTCCCGGGGCTGAGGAATCCAGGCATTTCTCATCGCAGTGATAAGTACCCTCTTCCTTTTTATGAGCCAAAAGGTAAAAGGTGATCATTTGCAACTCTCTCTCTTTGATAGGGATCGTCTTATGTTTTGTAAGTCTGTAATTTTAATCTTTGTCTTTGCTGAGAATAACCACCTTGTAAGACAGTATAGATGCCCACACCATGTTGATTAAAACACCTTTGCTCCATCAGAGCTTTGCTCCCCGTGTCTTTCTTCCTTTCTCTCTTTCTTTTTATTCTTTCTCTCTTTCCCTCTCTCTCTATTTCTGGCTAATTCCTTGGAGCGCGGAGGCCCGCTGAGCTCACTTTCTCGCCCGGGCTTCTAAGCCCCTCTCAGAAGGCGCACTGCGCCTTCACCCACCCGAGAGGGCGCCCGGTGCCCACGTGCGGCAGCGCCGCCCTGAGAACAGGGCTTTCCCCGTAAACCAGGGGACATCAGCCTCTTTCTCTCTCTTACTCTCGGAACCACCAGGTTCCAGCCCATTAAAGGACCAACAGATGCTCACCACTTTGTCTGCTAAATAGAAGACCAAGTAGACTGTGCTTTAGATGTGTGCAAATTAAGATTCCATATCTGCGTTGGACAGCCTTTGGAGAAACATGGCTGCTTTGGTACTCTTTGAAATACTGATAGCTGTCAAACAGTCCTGTTTCCTTGTTTTGCCACTCTGAAGTTCAATTTCAAGTCCTAGATTGGCTGATTTGTTGATTTTGCTGAAAGCCCAGCTGCACTAACCGTCTCGACTGGCTGGGGCTTGTTGTTAACCAAAGCTCTGACTGCACTTTTTGTTCTCATTTATTGTAGATCTGTGCTGTACTAAACAGTAGCCAGGATCCATGTGTGACTCTTTAAATTTAAATTAATTTAGTTAGATAATATTGAAATTTACCTTTTATAACATAGAAAGAGTCAAAATCATCAAAACATCAGTTCAGTTCAGTTCACTTGCTTAGTCATGTCCGACTTGTTGCGACCCCATGAACTTCAGCACGCCAAGCCTCCCTGTCCATCACCAACTATCGGAGTTTACTCAAACTCATGTCCATCGAGTTGCTGATGCCATCCAACCACCACATCCTCTGTCGTCCCCTTCTCCTCCTGCCCTCAATCTTTCTCAGCATCAGGGTCTTTTCCAATGAGTCAGCTCCTCGCATCAGGTGGCCAAAGTATTGGAGTTTCAGCTTCAGCATCAGTCCCTCCAATGAACACACAGGACTGATCTCCTTTTGGATTGATTGGTTGGATCTCCTTGCAGTCCAAGGGACTCTCAAGAGTCTTCTCCAACACCCCAGTTCAAAAGCATCAGTTCTTCAGTGCTCAGCTTTCTTCACAGTCCAACTCTCACATCCATACATGACCACTGGAAAAACCATAGCCTTGACTAGACAGACCTTTGTTGGCAAGTAATGTCTCTGCTTTTTAATATGCTATCTAGGTTGGTCATAACTTTCCTTCCAAGGAGTAAGCGGTTTTTTAATTTCATGGCTGTAATCACCATCTGCCGTGAATTTGGAGCCCCAAAAATAAAGTCAGCCACTGTTTCCACTGTTTCCCATCTATTTCCCAGGAAGAGATGGGATTGGATGATGTGACCTTAGTTTTCTGAATGTTGAGCTTTAAGCTAACTTTTTCACTCTCCTCTTTCACGTTCATCAAGAGGCTTTTTTGCTCCTCTTCACTTTCTGCCATAAGAGTGGTGTCATCTGCATATCTGAGGTTACTGATATTTCTCCCGCGAAACATAGAGACCCAGAATAAAATGGTGATTGTCAAAGGCTTTGGGGAGGGAGGCATTGACACTTGATTTTTAATAGACACAAAGTTGTTTATGTAAGATAACAATGTTCTAGAGTTCTACTATGCACTTTGGTGCTTATGGTTAGCTGCTGCTGCTGCTAAGTCACTTCAATCGTCTCCCACTCTGTGCGACCCCATAGACGGCAGCCCACCAGGCTCCCCCATCCCCGGGATTCTCCAGGCAAGAACACTGGAGTGGGTTTCCATTTCCTTCTCCAATGCATGAAAGTGAAAAGGGAAAGTGAAGTGCTCAGTCATGTCCAACTCTTAGCGACCCCATGGTTAGCAGTACCGTACAATTAAAAATTTGTAAAAAGGGTAAAGCTCATGCTGTTACCTAAAGAAGAAGAAGAAATCCAATTCCTCAGTCACTCTAGCCAATGTTCAAGTGCTCAGTACCCACAGGTGACTGAGACTACCACATACATAGAGCATTCCCGTCCTTATAGAAACTTCTCTCAGACAGTGTTACGGACCTGGGTCCTAGGACTCATGGTAGAAATTGACAGGAAGCCAGAAGAGGAATTCGGGCAAGGCTTTACTGGGATCTGTGCTACCACACGAGGAAGCAAAAACAAGTGGTAGGTCCTGCAGAGAGTGAGCTGCTTCCTTAGATGGAGTGGAAGTAGAGGCAGCTATGTGGGTTGGACGGAGGGGGTCTGCCCATGTCCTTGTCGGTGCTGAGTGCAGGGTGCATGTACAGGACCTTGCTTTTGCCCCCCACACCTCAGAAGTGGCAGTTGAGTTTTTGAGTTTTTGTATCTTGTTCATAATTTGCCCCAACTACACATATATGCAGTTACTTATAGTCCCTTGAGGTTATTTATTTATTTATTGTATTCTTTGCTCTAGGAGACATTTGTCCAGGTGCAGGCACTGCAGCAAAGAGTTCCAAGTCCTAGGTTCCAGCTTGTCTCAACAGCATTCGCTAAACTCTATTCATTTGTCTAGAACTTTTTTTACATTCTTAGACAAAGCACATTCTCTGAATAAGTCATGGAGGTGGTAAATAACACACAACATAATTCAAACAAGTTTTTCAGTACAGAGAATTATATTCACTTATGAAACTGGAAGGCTGCAAGGTTGGTTTTAGTTAACTGCATAATAGCTAGTCAAAAACTTGTCTTTCTGTTTGTCTTTCTCTTCTGACTCATGTCAGCCATGCTCTAACGGCTGCCTCCCCAAAACAGTTACCAGCAGTTTGCCCATAATTCCCACAACTAAATAGTTTTACAAAATGAATAGGATTTTCAGAACCTCAAGGAAGTGTTTTGTTTTGTTTTTTCCTAGGTATAAACACAAACTGTTACCGATACCAAGCTCTCTCCACACATGGCAGGCCAGTAAATCCCAGAGACCAGGTAAGGAGGCCAGGAATACAACTTTTTTGGAAGGCCAGCTGATCAAGAAGACGGCAACTAATGTCTCAAAATAACCATCTTATCAGGGTCTAGATGCCAGGTTCTTTTATAGAACAGACAGTGGAGGGGTATGAGGAGGTAAATTGAAAAAGGTCATTAATCTTATAAATATCTCCTGGAATGGCAAGCCTCAGGAAGGGAATGTGTTAATTTCTTCCTTCCTTTAGCCATCCACAGGTGGACAGGGTCCTGAACAAAAGAATTTTAATTTAACATTTAGGCAGAGGAGCAGGGTTCCCTGAAGCAGGCTATTAAGTGTGGATGATATCCTTTTAGTGAACAAAAGCAACCTGAAGCAAAGGTTAGAGTATGACAGACTCACCATGGAATCAGATCTTCCCTGTAACAAAAGCTTTCCTGAAATTCATCAGCCCAGATTCTATTTGTCAACCACCAAACAAAAATGTGACCAAAGAATAGGATTGGTTACATGGCTTATTCTAGGTATCAAAGTAAGGAATATGAGATGGCATGACTGATAATCAGTCTGATAATCAGACTGATAATACTTTAAAAGAGGGAGTGGTTGATGAGAAGGTTCCAAAATGTCTATGAATGCTCTGTATTAGGATTCTCAATGGAAGACAGTTTTGCCCTGCAGGAAACACATGGCAGTGTCTGAAGACTTCATTAATTGTCAGGACTGGAGGTGTTCTACTGGAATCTAGTAGGTAGAAGTCAGGATTGAGCTAAACATCCTGCAGTGCACATGGTAGTCAACAAAGATTCTGTGGCCGATGTCAACAGTGCTGGGGTTAATAAATCCTTTTCTATTTTATTCTATTACATGCATGCTAAGTCACTTCAGTTGTGTCTGACTTTTTGGACCCTAAGGGCTGTAGCCCACCTGGCTCCTCTGTCCATGGGATTCTCCAGGCAAGAATACTGGCATGGGTTGCCATTTCCTCCTCCAGGGAACTTCTCGACCCATGGATCAAACCTGTGTCTCCTGCATTGCAGGCAGATTCTTTACTGCTTGAGCCACCAGGGAAGCCCATTCTATTATATGAAATGCAACTTAAATTTTAAAAGCAACTTTAATGATTAGCATACTGAAAAATACAGAGTTAGACTTGGCTTCAGCCATGATCTGATCCAGAGTTTTGCCAAGTCTTACATATTTCATCTGCACTTTCCTACAGTTGTGTTCACTCTTCCTTTACCTAGGTTCTCAAATTGTCTTCCTCATTATAGTACCAATAGTGGTGACACTCTGATACTGTTGCACCCATGCAATAGGCCATCTAGTGAAAAGAAGCTTATTTTTCCAGTAGTTTTCACAAAACAGAGAGGAATCTTCTTCCTCAACACCAACCAGCATTAGCTTCTTTCTTCCAATTAGCCAGAATTTTATGACACGTCTATTACTGGACCAGTCTATGGCTAAGAATTTGGACATGTTCACCTGTTGAGAATAGGAAGTTGGTCATTTTAGAAAGTAAAACCTGGACACACTGGCTAGGAGTGGGAGAAACTTATTCCACATAGACTACTAATAAATATTGATTGCTATGTTGGTAGATTGCATCATTGGTATGTGACTACAACAGCACTTAGAAGTATAACTGCAGAAATAAAAACTTGCAACATATGCTTGATCAGACAGCTGCTTTCTCACTGATTCCTTGTAATCTGATCCTTTTGAATCAGCTCCTTCAACACTTTACATAATATTTCAAATCAGCAAGAAGAAGTAATATTTATGACATTTTTACTTTCAATTTCATTGGTATGGCCATCTTTCATTAGTTGTACACTACAGAAAAGTCTCTGAATCTGTGTAACATACTTTCCCCTTTTAAAGAATGAAGGTAATAATGGTGCCAACTTTCTGGAATTGCTCTGAGAACTACATTTTTTAAGTGCATAATGACTTTAAGGAGTAACTATATTTTTATAAATGCTTAATTCATATTATCTATGATTGTTTCTACTCAGTCATATTCAGATATCTCCCCTTCATGGATTACAGCCTTATTATTGCAAAGGGTCTTGTGAAACTCAATAAAGCTATGAGCCATGCCATGCAGGACCACCCAAGATGGACAAGTCATAGTGGAGAGTTCTGAAAAAATGTGGTCCACTGGAGGAGGAAATGGTAACCCCCTCCAGTATTCTTGCCACGAGAATCCCATGAACAGTATGAAGAGGCAAAAATATGACACTGGAAGATGAGCCCTCCAGGTTGGAAGGTGTCCAATATGCTACCGTACAAGTTGTTGTTGTTCAGTCTCTAAGTCACGTCCAACTCTTTGCAACCCCATGGACTGCAGCACACCAGGCTTCCTTATCCTTCATCATCTCCCAGAGTTTGCTCAAACTCATCTCCATTGAGTTTGTGATACCATCCAACCATTTTATCCCCTGTTGCCCCCTTCTCGTCCTGCCTTCAATCTTTCCCAGCCTTCAGAGTCTTTTTCAACAAGTCCCCTCTTCACATCAGGTGGCTAAAGTATTGGAGCTTCAACTTTAGCATCTATCACTAGGGAAGAGCAGAGGGCAATTACTAATAGTTCTAGAAAGAGTGAGTGATTGGTCAAAGCAGAAATGATGTTCAGTTGTGGATGTGTCTGATGGTCAAAATAAAGTCCAATGCTATAAAGAACAATAGTACATAGGAACCTGGAATGCTAGAAATCAGTGAACTAAAATGGATGGGAATGGACAAATTTAATTCAGATGACCATTATAACTACTACTGTGACAAGAATCCCTTAGAAAAAATGGAGTAGCCCTATAGTCACCAAGAGTCTGAAATGCAGTATTTGGATGCAGTCTCAAAAGCAACAGGATGAGCTTGGTTCATTTTCAAGGCCAACCATTCAACAGCACAGTAATCCAAGTCTATGTCCCAACTACTAATGTGGAAAAAGTTGAAGGTGACTGGTTCTATGAAGACCCACAGGACCTTCTAGAACTAACTCAGGAAAAGAAAAGAAAAAAAAAATCCATTTTCATCATAGGTGATTGGAATGCAAAAGTAGGAAGTCAAGAGGTACCTGGCATAACAGGCATTTGAGTACAAAATGAAGCAGGGAAAGTCTAATAGAGTTTTGTCAGGAGAACACACTGGTCATAGCAAATACCATTTTCTGACAACACTACAGATGGACATCACCAAATGGTCAATACCAAAATCAGATTGATTATATTCTTTGTAGCCAAAGATGAGGAAACTCTACACAGTCAGCACAAACAAGACAAGACTAGGAGCTGACTATGGCTCAGATCATCAGCTCCTTATTTCTAAATTCAGGCTTAAATTGAAGAAAGTAGGGAAAACTGGTAGGCCATTCAGGTATAACCTACATCAAATCCCTTATGATTATACAGTGGAAGTGACAAGTAGATTGAAGGGATTAGATGTGGTGGACAGAGTGAAGAACTATGCACAGAGGTACATGAGGCAGTGACAAAAGCCATCCAAGGAAAATAAATGCAAGAAGGCAAAGTGGTTGTCTAAGGAGGCTTTACAAAGCATTGAAGAAAGTAAAGAAGTGAAAATCAAGGGAGAAAGGGAAACATATACCCAACTGAGTGCAGAGTTCCAGAGAATAGCAAGGAGAGATAAGAAGGCCCTCTTAAATGAATACCACAAAGAAGTAGAGGAAAACAAAAGAATGTGAAACACTAGAGATCTTTTCAAGAAAACTGGATATATTAAGAAAACATTTCGTGCAATAATGGGCATGATAGACAGAAGCAGTAAGGACCTAACAGAGGTAGAAGATTAAGAACAGGTGGGAAGAATATAACAAAGAACTATACAAAAATGGTTTTAATAATTACTATGCTGTGGTGTGGTCACCAACCTAGAGCCATACATCCTGGAGTCTGAAGTCAAGTTGACCTTATGAAGCATTTTTACAAACAAACTTAGTGGAGATGATGGAATTCCACCTGAGCTCTGTAAAATCCTAAAAGATGATATACTGTTAAAGTGTTGCACTCAATATGCCAGCAAATTTAGAAAATTAAGCAATGGTCACAGGACTGGAAAAGGTAAGGTTTTATTCTAATCTCAAAGAAGGGCAATGTCAAAGAATGTTAAAAATACTGTACAATTGCATTCATTTCTTATGCTAGTAAAGTTATGCTCAAAATCCTTCATGCTAAGCACAGCAGTATGTAAACTAAGAGCTTCCAGATGCACAAGCTGAGTTTAGAAAAGACAAAGGAAACAGAGATCAACTTTCCAACATTTACTGGATCATAGAAAAGCAAATGAATTCCAGAAAAATATTACTTCTGCTTCATTGACTAGGAGAAAGCCTTTGACTGTGTGGATCACAACAAACTGTGGAAAATTCTTGAAGATATGGGATATCAGACCACCCTACCTGTCTCCTGAGAGACCATTACGCAGGTCAAGAAGCAACAGTTAGAATCAAGTGTGGAACAAATGACTGGTATAAAACTGGGAAAGAGCTACGAAGAGGCTGTATGTCGTCACTTTGTTTGTTTAACTTACAGGCACAGTACATCATGTAAAATGCCAGGCTGGATGAATCACAAGCTGGAATCAAGATTGCTGAGAGAAATATCAACAACTTCAGAAATGTAGATGATACCACTCTAATGACAGAAAATGAAGAGGAACTAAAGAGCTTCTTGATAAAGGTGAAAGAATAGAGTGAAAGAGCTGGCTTACAACTCAACTTTTAAAAAACTAAGATTATGGCATGAGGTTTCATCACTTCCTGGCAAATAGAAAGGGGAAAAGTGGAAACAGATCTCATTTTCTTGGGCTCCAAAATCACTAGGAGGGTGACTGAAGCCATGAAATTAAAAGATGCTTTTTCCTTGGAATGAAAGCTGTGACAAAGCTAGGCAGCATATTAAAAAGCAAAGACATCACTTTACTGCCAAAAGTCCGTATAGTTAAAGCTATGCTTTTTCCAGTAGTCATGTATGGATGTGAGAGTTGTACCATAAAGAAAGCAGAACCCCAGAGAATTGATGCTTTTGTACTGTGGGGCTGGAGAAGACTCCTAAGAGTCCCTTGGACTGCAAGATCAAACCAGTCAATCCTAAAGGAAATTAACCCTGCATATTCATTGGAAGGACTGATCCTGAAGCTGAAGCTTCAATACTTTGGCCATCTGATGCTAGGAGCTGACTAATTGGAAAAGATCTTTGTGCTGGGAAAGATTGAAGGCAAAAGGAGAAAAGGTCAGCAGAGGATGAGATGGTTAGGTAACATCACTGACTCAATGCACATGAATCTGATCAACTCCCAGAGATAGTGAAGAACAGGGAAGCCTGGTGTGCTGCCATCCACAGGGTCGCAAAGAATCGGACATGATTTAGTGTCATAAATATCATTCCCATTTCATTGTTTTTAATCTAAGAATTACTGGGCAGTGTTTCCATGATGTTTCTTTCTAAATTACAGCTGTTGAGCTCCATAATGCTTTGTTTTACCCTATTTTTTGGTATTATTCTACTGTCTCAAAATTTCCATCCTCATTTCTATTATTGAATAAAAACTCTTTTCTGGAAACTTTGATTCTTTTTTTAGATAGGTATGATTGCTTAGCACATTTTCCTTTATTTTTCAAAATCATAATCTTCAATTTGAAAAAGAAAGAGCATTAACCTTTCTTCCAGTGACACTTAGAGATAGAAATGCATGACAGGTAAGTGCTGCTGTTTAC